TGCGACACATGCCTGCCTGGGATGATACGAGGTCATATTTCGGATGGGCGATGGGGCAGAGTCATGTTCAAATTGCAATACGAAAAAAATATTGTTAACACGGGGGGTAGATCCTAATATTCTTGTAGAAAAGAAAACATATGTTTTTGCAACATGCGTGCTGCAATATATGTCGGGTTGGAAACGGCGACAACATGGTCACCTGACCGCCAAGCCGGCCCAGACGACGGGCGGCGACGAGGAGACGACGGGGCGGCCACGGCGGCTACATAGCCGCCACCCCGACACAAAGGCCGAGACGACGGGCGGCGACGGGACGGCGACAAGCGCTACGTAGCCGCCAGACAAACACACCGGTCCAATGCCGTAAAAGTAAGAACCCCAAACTGCAAGCATTGTTTGGGGAATGATACTCGTCTGTGCCAACTCCCGCTTGACCAGTACCATCGTCACACGATCGCACACTACATCATGAGTCGCAATCATGTTATTCATTGTTGTGCCCATCGCTGCCACCATCATTGGATTCATGGGAGCCACCGTTGGCATTACCAACATCTTATCATTCTCATCGTCATAACTGAAAGCACGGTCAGCATGGTACCAACTAGAATGATCAATACCATCATGTCCATCAATACCATCATTGGCGTCACCCTCAATACCACTATCGTCATGCCCGTGACCGCTAATAGCATCATTGTAATTGTAGCCACGATCTGCATCAACGTAATACAAGTAATGCGGTCACGGTTAACAGCAGGAAACTTACCACCACACTTATCATCATGGAAATGAATCGTCAGTGTCGTGATCAACGTCTCCGACAACCTAACTATCACCACTGCCGCGTGCAATCACACATGCGATCGTGAACATTACTGAGAGCGGCCATGCAATGTACCATATCGGAGGTGAGGGGGTGAGATCGAAGTGGAACGGAGAGCCCCCGTACCGGGAAATCGGTTTCGATTTCGTGTTCGTGCGTGCCGTGCGTGCAGGCGACGCGAAGCTGCGTGGGCGGGCGAGAAGAAAGTCTCCTGTGGCTGAGGCGCGGCCGGACCAAATGACTCCCTTCCGGGGGGCCGGCGGCCCGCGGTGTCCCGCCGGTGTCCCGCCGGTGTCCCGCTGTGGCTGAGGCGCGGCCGGACCAAATGACTCCCTTCCGGGCGGCCGGTGGCCCGCGGTGTCCCGCCGGTGTCCCGCGGTGTCCCGCGGTGTCCCGCGGTGTCCCGCGGTGTCCCGCGGTATCCCGCCGGTGTCCCGCGGTGTCCCGCGAGGATGATGATGAGACGATGATGATGATGATGATGATGATGATGATGATGATGATGATGATGATGATGATGATGAGATGATGATGATGGTGTCCTGATCATGATGATGATGATGTTGATGATGGTGTCGATGATGATGAAAGTGTTCCGATGATGAGGATGATGATGCTCATGATGATTATGTTGATGATGATGACGATGATGGTGTCCCGATGATGATGAAAATGATGATGATGATGATGATGATTCCGATGATGTTGGTGATGATGATGTTAATGGAAATGGTGTCCTGGCGATGCTGATGTTGATGATGATGTTGATGATGATTATGGTGTCCCGATGATGATGCTGATGATGATGGTGATGATGATGATGGTGATGCTGATGGTGTCCCGATGACGATAATAATGATAATGACGATGTTGATGATGATGTTGCTCATGATGATGATGGTGCCCCAATGATGATGATGTTGATGATGATGATGATGTCGATGATCATGATGAGGATGGTGTCCCGAGGATGATGACGATGTTGATGATAATGTTGATGATGAGAACGATGGTGATCATGATGGTGTCCCGGTTACGATGATGATTCTGATATGCTGCTGATGATGATGACGATGACTGTCCCGATGATGATGATGATGATGATAATGATGATGAGATGATGATGGTGATGATGATGATGATGTTGTCATGATGCTGACGTTGATGATGATGTTTATGATGATGATGATGATGATGATGATGATGATGATGACGGTGCCCTCATGATGATGACGATGTTGGTGATGATGTTGATGTTGGTGTTGATGATGATGATGATGACGTTGATTGTGAGAGCGATTGATATCGATAGTGAGATCGATATTGAGACCGAATGTGAGATCGATTTTGTGATCGATTGTGAGATCGATTGTGAGATCAATTGTGAGATCGATCGAATGAGATAGATCGAGTGAGATCGATTGTGAGATCGATCGAGTGAGATCGATCGAGCGAGACCGATTGTGAGATCGATACTGAGATCGATAGTGAGACCGATCGAGTGAGACGTTGGTTCCCCCCCCCGAACCTCCTTATCACCCGACGGGTGGTCGTATAGGTATGTTATTTGCGCTGACAGGCCCCGAGGCCACATAATCATATTCCAAGTATGAAGCTTGAGGTGTGTTGGGATAGAACCAAACTGGTAGATCGATCCAGTCCGCAGTCAAGGCCGCACAGTCTTGAGCTGTCGCCAGGAAAATGCACCGAGGAGGACGCCACCTGTTCACATGAACCAGCAGCCGTGCACGGGCCAATTCTGGGCCCAGGATCGGTGCTAACGCCACCTTGGATCTGATAGGGGGGCAGGCCCAGATCCCAGGCCCAGAGTCGACCTGGCTAGGGTCGGTGCACAGGCGTAAGATTGCAGCGGCGTCGAGCGAAGAAGCCCAGCTGGGTGAAAGTAGTGAAAAGATGTGCCGAACGGGGAAGGATGCAAGGGTTAAGTCGGGCGTGTCCCCCCACAGGCAGATTGTCGAGGAAAATATCCAAACATGCGCAGGAAATATTCAAAAAGTCGTCCCCATATTATTTTGGGGCCATTTCTGAATTTTCCTCCTGTAGAGGGACACGCCCGACTTAATGCAAGGGCAGCGCTTGCGAACCACTGGGCCCCCTGGGGGAACACCAGAGATACCAAGCAAAGATTCCAACATCCCTACTGCTCTGACCCATCCCAGTGGGCGACCTGACCAGGATTGATGGGCCTGTATTTCATCACTACCATCATGAGTGGGGAGGGGGTCCTCCTCCTCCTCCTCCTCCTCCTCCTCGTCCTCCACCTCCTTCCCCCATCCAACTTATGGTGGTGGTGGTGGAAAACAGGCCCATCAAGGATTCCAAGGCGGATCCAGCCGTGGCGGCGGGGGGGGCCCAGAAGGCCCCAGAAGGCGAGAGCGAGCGAAGACGCCTATTGTGACAAAACTGCAACGCCCAGATCTGAGGGAAGGCATCTGTATCGGGAAGCTTTGCTCGGGGGTGCGCAAACATGGATTAGCGATCCATGGATTTGGCGCGCGGTCGCCCAATCCATGGATCGGGGCAGGTGCCCTCCCCCAAATGCGGCCGGTGCCGCCTCCTTCGGCGGCGGAAATCCGCGATTTCCCACGGAAACGGGACCCGTCGCCAATCCGCGCCCCCCTGACCCGTGTTTGCGATCGCCTGACTGCATCGGGAAGCTTCTCTCCTCCAGCGCGCTCCGCATCGGTCCCCCTGCCCGCCCGCGGGACCCGCCCTGGCCAGGCCGTCGTCCCAGACCGATGCCCGACGGCCCAGGGGCCGGAAGCGCACCTCGGAGGCCCGCACCGCGAGGGGACATCGCTCGCGACAGCGGTTGGCCTGGAGCCCTGCGAATTGAGCAGGGACGGACCGCCCCAGCACTCCTGTAGGCCTACCACGACATGCTCTTAGAACCCAAAACAGCTCTCGGAACGAAGACGATGTTCTTAGAACATAAGCCCGATGTGCTAAAACAAGAGAACCCAAAACAGTTCTCGGAACGAAAGCAATGTTCTTAGAACATAAGCCCGATGTGCTAAAACAAGACAGGCCCAGCCAGAATTGTTCTCAGAAAATTTCGTGGAAACCTCAAAAGGCTCTTAGAACATTGTTTGGTAGGCCTATAGGCACGCCAGGACGCTTCGCCACTGCTTGAGCGAACAGAGGGCGCCCCCCCGGCCTGACATGACCCCGGGGCGTCCAAGACGGGGGCGCCCCACAGGGGCCGAAGCCCGCACGCGAGGGAAAGTCGCTCGATCCCGCGGTTCCCCCAGTCTCCTGCGAACAGTATGGCGTCCCCCGGCCCTGACGTCGGGGGCGTCCAAGGGGGGGGACGCCCAAGGGGCGGTCTGCAAGCATCACGGCCAGAGGAGCGTGCACCGGGGAGGGGGCCCCAGGAGGTGCCGAAGAGGACTGAAGGCTGTGAAATCTGGGAGCCCCGGTCATGACATCCGACCCTCCTTGGATCCGATACTGCTCTAGCAAGAAAAACAATAGGAAAATCCGACATCGCGCAGAGCCACGACCAGAGCCCTGCCTGGACCCCACCTTTCTGCTGCACCTGCCGAGCCGGATCGATCCGTGGTGGCCCTGGGGCTCGAACCTGGCACGACCGCCCCGCGTGAAAAAAACTCAACGTCCGGATTCGGCGGTGGGCAAACCTCCCCTTTTGTAGACCTCCCCTTAGCGAAAACGGCCTGGGACCGAAACCGACGGACCTGGACCCGCAAAAATGACGGCCGCGACGCCCTTCCGCGAACCGAAAACGGCCAATTCCTTAATCGACGTGTCAGGGTAGGAGGTCTGTCCACCCCCGACGGATCTCCGGGCCCCCTGGCCGTTGTCCTCCTCTCGGCCGCCCCCGATGGAGACGAATCGGGGCGCCCCGCGGGACAGGCCTGGGCGCAGGGCCGACGCGCGCCACGCCCGCGCGCACCGGCCCCGCGAACCCAGACCGGGCGCCCTCACGCGGCCCCGCTCCAGCCGGAAATGGGGCGTTGGCTGAACTGGGTTTGGTGGGGCCTGGTTCAGTGGTGTGTGCTGGGGGGGCGCCCCCCCCGCCCCGTTCCACCAACCGGAACTGCCGTCACCCGACAAAACACCAGTTACGGCAGACCTGGTTTTACGACCCTGGTCGGTTTAGGGGCTCTGGGGCGCTACTACTGACCGGGTCCCCTTACCTGGGGTCCTGGCAGAACCCGAGGGAAGGGGAGCGGAGCGGGGGGGAAGGCTGCTGGCACAGCAGGGGAGGCGGCGCCAGGGGGGTGGGCTTTTAAGAGGGCGACGGGGTTTCTTAAGGGCAAGGGCCTCGTTAGAAGAATCTGGCGGCTGCTGAGGAGCCCCCGTGCAGGCCTCCGGGACCTTCTAAGAAGGCCCGCGCTCCTTCTTAGAATCGACTACACGCATGACCCTAGGCAAGAGTGCCCTTTGGTGCGCGGACTACGGGGGCGCAAGGTGGCCAAATCCAAGCGCGCAATCAGCTGCTGTCTTATCGCGCTCCACGATCCGAGGGGCCCCGATGAGCCCGCACCAAAGGTCACTCCGGCGAAGGGTCACTCTTACGTGCAGTCGATCGAAGCCCACCACCCTCGCGCCACCTTCTGGCGGGCGCCCGCCAAGAAGCGAGAGCGGGGAGGGGTCCCCGAGATCCCGGCGCTGCGACTCTTTCTTCTTACCAGGTGTTTTCGCCCAGTCTCGGGCCCCAGGGCCATCACAAATCTGTCTCGGGCCGTCTTGGACGCCCCGGAGGGCGGTCTCAACCGTGCCTCGGATATTCTGCCTGTGTGCTGGGGGCCTGGCTGTCAACCTGGGAAAACCCGTATGTTGCAGATACACACATGTAGATATGCACGTTCAGATCCACCGATTTGGAAGCCTGCCCCGAGGATCCTCGCGGAGCGTTGGTTGCGGGCATGTCCCGCCCCCGTGGGTGGGGGCGGAGGCCCAGACGGAGGAGGAGGAGGAGGATGAGGAGGAGGAGGAGGAGGAGGGGGAGGAGGGAGAAGGAGAAGGGGAAGCCTCGTAGCGGTTGGATAAGGGAGGATGAGGATGCTCCTTCTCCACCGCCCCCTCCTCGAGGGCATCCACCCCCGGCGCCCCGCGAGATCCTCGGGAGGGGGGGGGGGACGTCTCCGCCGCGGTGGACATGCACACACCCTGGGCAGGAGAGGAGGAGGGGGGAGGGAGGAGGGAAGGAGAGCGGGAGGGAAGAGGGAGGGCGGAGGCAGGAGAGGGGGGGGAAGAGGGAGGAGGGAGGAGGGGGGAGGGAGGAGAAGGGAGGAGGCAGGGAGGAAGGAAGGGAGGGGAGGAGAGAGGGAGGGAGGGAACAGGAAGGACAGAGGAGCAGGGAGAAGAGAGAGAGGAAGCTGGAAGAGGGTCTGGCTCAGAGCGCGTCTGCCGTGAGCGAGTGGAGGGCCGCGATGGCCGCGGACATGAGCGCGAAGGACGCGGAGGTCCACAGCACCGCGCCGCGCGTGCCGAGCTGCTCCGCCGCCTCTCCGGGGTGCCCATCTATAGACGAGCGCGTTCCACTACTCGCAAAGTAGCTACTCGCAAATCGCCTGGATCCGCCGCGGAGGATCTACGATACATTACATCGAAACAAGGATGTGTTATTCGGGCGTTTGTGAGTAGGCACTTTGCGAGTAGTGGAACGCGCCCGGTGAATATAGAGGGCTACAAATTTTGCTCCGAGCCGGTGGGGTCGGAGCATCGCGCCGCATCTCCGGTGCATCGCCGATGCATCGGCGACACCGGCGCGGAGAAAATTGGGCCCACATCGAGCCGCAGATCGCCGATGCATCGGCGATGCAGTGCGATCCTCCGAGCCCATCCACTCGCACCTAATCGGGGAGGCCTGGAAGTGACGATTAGGGGTTACGACTGACGGGCGTGGCTTGAGAATAACCGCGCTGAAAATCAAGCGCGGGAGAAATCGCCGCGGAGCTCGGTGGCACTTCGGTACACCGAGCCGATGCCAAATCCTCGGGGCGTGGTCCCTCTTCTCGGCAGGAAGCTGCATCCCACGCTGAGTACAACAGGGTTCTGGCGGGACTGCGGCACCTGAGTGATTTCGCCCCTGGACCCAAAGCCCCCCGTGCAGCACAGCGAGACTCCTGCGAGCCGTGACGAGGGTAAGACTGGGGCAAAATCGGACCCGGGCAAATCGGATAATTTCTGAGACCCGGCGATTCTAGGCGACCTATCGGGTGCCGCGTCCGTTCGGGAGCGCTCCAGAACCCTCTGAGAGCTTTGCAGCACGCTCTGGAGCGATTTCGCTCCTGTCCTAGCCCTATCCCAAGGATATCATTCGGGTTAAGTCGGGCGTGTCCCCATACAGGCGGATGTCGAGCGAAACATTAAAGATAGTCAAACAATGCCCAAAAATACTCAAACTAGTCGAAAAATCGTCCCCAGACAATCGTTTTTACTATTTTTGAATTTTCCTCCTGTAGAGGGACAGGCCCGACTTAACACTCGGGGCGTGGTGTGCTAGCCTCCCTCTTCCTGGCCCCCCACCCGATGAAGACAGATCCATAAAGGGAAACGGCACTATGTGGGATTCGGCTGGTTGCGACCACGGATCGGGAAAGGCTTCGAAAACTTCTCAGAAGGCCGGGGCACTTCCCGAGCCTTCTGAGAAGCACTGCCGAGCCGCACACGGCCACGGAAACCAGGGCCACCGCCACGGGTGGCCCGGCCCTAGCGCCGACACTACATGCAACCTTCCAGGACATGCACCCTGACAAACCCGCTCTCTCTTCGGCGCACCCTTTGGCAGATCATTGCGCGAGTCTACATGGCGCATTCGTTGGCAACACCCGGAGGCGGCGCTCGCTTCCTCTTGAAGTCGAAAACTGTCGCCAGCGAATGGGATTGCATCAGATAGCACACGTCTCACCCCTTCTTTCGTGAGGTGAGGGCTAAGGGTGTGGAAATATCGGCGGTGGGCAAACCTCCCTTTTGTAAACCTCCCTTTAGTGAAAACGGTCTAGGACCGAAACCGACGGACCTGGACCCGCAAAAATGACGGCCGCGACGCCCTCTCGCGAACCGAAAACGGCCAATTCGCGAGTCGAAGTGTCAGGGTAGGTCTATCAACATCCGAATAGATCACTCGGGCAATGGTGCGCTGACCCCCCGCCCCCTTCCTAGGCCCCCCTCTCCAGCGCACCCGGAGCCTCCGTCAGCAGCTCGTGGAGGCAGACGTACACCATGGCTCCCGCGGCGAATGCCAGGCCGACTGGGAGCAGCCAGCGGAAGGCGTCCACGAAGAGGTCCGACACCGTGCCCCATGGCACGCTGAGGCGTGGCAGAATGCCCATCGCTGTCGCAGAAAGCTGTGAGCCCGCGCTCCCGAGACCACGATCCTTCGCGAAGGCCAGAGCTTCCACGATCCTTCGCGGAGGATCCGAGTCCAGAGCTTCCAAGACGGCCCACGCAGGCGACTGAAGACACCCAGGTGGGCCAAGAGAGCTCGAAGACGGGGCAAAATGGCTCCAGGGCGGCCGAATATGGCCTCAAGACGGCCTAAGATGCCTCCAAGAAGGACCAAAAGGGTCAAAAGACGACCTCCAACAAAATCTGGAGAAGCCAAGATCATTATTGACCCGGTGGTTTTGAATGAGCTCTGCATTCTTGTCTTTTCCGGCGTCCGCGACCTCAAAACAGCCTAAGAAGTCTCCACGATAGCATCAAGACGGTCCACGAGGCCCCTCAGAGAGTCCCAAGATAGCCCAAGAGGACCCCTCTATGGCCCAAGAGGCATCCCAGACGGCCACAGTGCGGCCCAAGAGGCCCTCTCGTGGGACCCAAGACGGCCTTAGAAGGCCCTTCGACGGCCCAAGAAGGTGCCAAGCCGGCCCCACAACGGCCCCCAGACACCCACCATACGGCCACGACGGCCCGAAGACGGCCCAAGGGAGCCCCAAGAGAGCGTAAGAGGGCCCCAAGACGGGCCCAAAAGGCCTCATGGGACCACCATGACTGCCTCACAGAAGACCAAGACAGCCCAAGACGGCCCAAACAAGCTCCATGAAAGTTTCTCACGTACTTAGTGGCGGCGAAGAGTGTCACATAGGACGGCCTTCCTCCTCCTACTCCTGCAACTTCTCCTCCTCCTCCTCCTCCTCCTCATCATCCTCCGACTGCTCCTCCAGTTCCGCATTCCTCGTTGCAAGCATCATCATCATCATCATCATCATCATCATCATCATCATCATCATCATCAGCATCATCATCATCATCAGCAGCAACAGCAGCAGCAGCATCCGCAGCATCAGCAGCATCATCTTTATCATCACCATCAACCATCACCGTCATCATCATCGCATCATCTCATCATCATCATCATCATCATCATCATCATCATCATCATCATCATCATCATCATCATCATCATCATCATTAGCAGTAGCGTCACCATAAGCAACAATGCGCCAGCAGTGTCGTGACCATGATCATCATCATCATCACCACCACAACCACCATCATCATAAGCATCATCATATCACCGTTATCAGCATCAGCATCATCTTCATCATCAGCACCAGCAGCGGCATCAGCGTCAGCATCATCATCATAATCATCATCATCAGCATCATCATGTCATCATCAGCATTATCATAGTCGTAATCATCACCATAATCGCCATCATCATCTTCATCATCATCAGTAGCATCATCACCATCCGTATCATCATTCCGAGCAGAATCCTTACCACCATCATCAGCATCACCACCATCATCATTATCGTCAACATTCTCATCATCACTATGATCATCATCTGGGAAATCATAATCACCATCATACGCATCACCATCATAATCAAAATCACTATCATCATCGTTATCATCGTCAGCATCATCAATATCATCGTCATCATCATCATCGTCATCCTCAACATCATCCCCACCACCATAACCACCATCATCACCGTCAACAGCATCAGCGGTAGCATCATTACCAACAAAAACATCACCATCAGCATGATCGCCATCATCATCGTCAACCTCATCATCAGCAGCAGCGGCATCATCATCAGCATCAGCATCGTCATCGTCATCATCATCAGCAACATCATCCTCATCATCATCCTCGTCACCAACATCAGCAGCATTACCAGCATCACCTGTATCATCTTCACCGTTGTCATCATACTCGTCATCGCCAGTGTCAGTATCATCCTCCTCATCAACATCATCATCAACATCATCATCATCATCATCATCATCATCATCATCATCATCATCATCATCATCATCATCATCATCATCATCATCATAATCATCATCATCATCATCATCATCATCAGCAGCATCTGAAATCTTCCTCCTCCTCCTCATCACCACCACCACCACCACCATCGCTGCGCGCGCCGATACCCGCTGCATCCTCCCACGAGGCCCTGGGCGCCCGCCCGAGCTCTAACGCCACTGGCAGCTGGGGCGCCCGCCTGCGGACGGCTTCGCACCGCTGCAGCCGCTGGGCGCCGCCCGCCGACTGAGGAGTGGGGCTCCCCGCGGCCGTGCCGCCGACGCTGGGCCATTCCACTCCGACGACCCGAACGAGGCCACCGTGCTGCTGAGCCCGCGCTGGGCGGCAGCGCGCAGGGCCGCGGAGCCCGCCGCAGCCGCTGGCGCCCAGGCCGCCGCCGGGACCGTCCGGCCGTTGTCGCGGTCGCGGACGGCATCGATAAGCCCATACACGGCTGCTGGAGGGCAAGCACTTCGGCACGCTGAGGTGTGGGGCAGTGGCCTGCTCGGCGCATCGCTTAGCAGACGATTTCGCGCCTATGTAGGATGCTGGACGGCCTCGTCGGGTCCCAGAGCGACCACTCGGGACGCCTGGCGAGCACGTAGAACTCGATGATTGATGCCCGGGGGGTAGTACACTGCGCGCCTTCATGAAAGGACGGTCATCATCATAAGCCCACCATCATCAACATCATCATCATCACCGCCACCATCAGCAGTAGCATCGTCAGTTTCACCATCAGCATCATGACAAAAAAACAACAACACACATTATCATAACCATACTCATAGCCATAATCATAGCCATAATCATCCTCATCCCGATCCTCACCCTCATCAGTATCATCCTCATAAGCAGCATCATCGTCGTCACCATCGTCAACAGCGCCTTCATGAGCAGTATCATCGTCAGCACCATCGTCGATATTACCACCTCCATTATCATCCTCATCATCATCATCATCATCAACATCATCCGCTACATCATCAGCACAAGCGTCATCATAAGCAGCATCAGCATCTTCATCAGCAGAATCACCACTACCATCAGCGACAAAAGCAATCATCAACACCACTGTAACCATCATCCCATCATCAGTAAAATCGTCATCATCATCAGCGTCACCATCATTACCATCAGCATCACCATAATCATATTCATCGGCATCGACATCGTCATCGTCATCATCACTATCACCATCACCATCCCCATCGCCATCACCATTCGCATCATGACCATCACCCTCACCATCACCACCATCGCCATCATCAGCATCATCATCATCACCACCATCGCCATCATCAGCATCATCATCATCATTACCATCATCATCATCATCATCATCATCATCATCATCATCATCATCATCATCATCATCATTTCTGCGAGCGAGTGCGCAGCACCCGAGCGAGAAGCATCCAAACAAACGCCATGACAGCAGGGGGCAAACATTGCGTGAACAAGGGCTGGGGCTCACGCGCTTCGCATGCAAACTGTATTCGTCTAGGCTCGAGCTGTTGTGCCGGCATGGGCGTACTGCAGCGGCCCCTCGCGAGCCGACCGGAGATTCGAGTTCGGACCGCCGGATTCGCCACGGAGAACCATCTACATCCGCCAGGAGTTCTTGCGAGTGCGCCGCCTCGGCCCTGGCGTGGACCCACCCGCTCACTGTTGTCCGCGGTGGTCGCGGCAAGCAGCACGCCGCTTCAGATTCCGTGGCCAACGCCCACGGCCTCCCCCGCAGCGGCATGTATCTTGAAGCCACTTCTTCACGTTCTACGTAATCCCTCTCGTGAAGGGGCCCTGGGACACACAAATAAACACACACAAGTAAAAGGATTCGCCATATTTTCATATATTTTCTGGGCTTTTGTCTTCCCCCCCATTTCCCATATTTTCCCATATTTTCCCATATTTTCCAGGAATCGACGATTAATTGTGTCTGTGTGTTTCTCCCCTCCTCATCTCAGGAGTGCCTGCCAGAGCTCTCTGCGTGGTCGTGGTCGCAATGGCAGGCAGACCGCACTGATGTCCTGGCTCATGCCGTTCATGTTGTAGTTCAAGTGTGATGCCCGATGAACACAGCGCGGGCAGAGTTCGCGCAGCTCCGCGCGCTTGCCTACTGCTCTTAGCTTGGACCAGTATCGGGGCCACTCGGCTTACCCGGGCGCTCAAGCTGTCGAGGCCGCCCCGGTGGGCCCTGCGGGCACTCTAAGGCGCGCCCCTCTTTCGCACGGGAGGCCATTTCGACGAAAGCGCGGGCGCGGTGGCAGAAGGTTGAGGCCGACGTCCCTGCGCCAGAGCCCAGCCGTGCCGGAGTGCACTGCTTGCACGGGCATTCTGGCACCTACATCGGCAAGGCCACGTTACAGCGCTCGACGTCGGCGGGGCTCGCGGTCGGGCTGGCGGCAAGAGCAGCTGAGCATCTTTCTGGTCTTCTACGTCCGTCGCCCAGTGATGGGGGCGCCAAGCGATACGCAGGGCTCCGCCAATCAGTGGGCTCAGTGCGTTTCATCCACATCGCTTTGCGCGAATCTGATGCGCGAGCTCTGGCCATAGAATCACGTTTGGTTTCGCGTATCCGTCCCGTGGGCAACTGCGCGGACGCTCGCCAGCTGCGAGCCTCGAGGGGGATCGGTACGCCGCTGCGGGCTCAGAGGCGTGCGTGCAGGCGACGCCCATTCCCTCTTTTCCGCCAACAAGATCTCAAAAGGACTGTGCGGGCACAGCTAGACTTTGAGCAGCGCGTGGAGAAGCGGGCCCCCCCTCCACCTCCCCTGCCGTCGTCGTCGTCGTCGTCGTCGCCCGTTTCGCGGCAGAGAGGCCCATTCTTGCAATTGCATCGGTTCCATCAGCAGTCTCGCCTCGCTTTTGCAGGCCAGCATGGCCCTATCCCACTAGATACTCCTGAGCGCAAGTTCTTGCGCGCCTCATTTTGCGCGCGCACTGCTGGCAGCTTCGACCCCCCACCAGAGTGGGGGCAAGGAAGGCATCTCATCATTGCGCGGACTGGCCGGATCGCTGCCTGAGGCGCTCCAGGGTGCAGCGCCGCAGGCTAGGGCTCGCGCTGCGTTGGAACGGGCGTTGCGTCAATTCCACCTGCCTCCGCTACGCGCGAAGCCATTGCTGGCGCATCCTGCCTTGATGTGCCGATTCGGTTTGCTTCGCAAGTTAGTTCGGGAAGCATTGTATCAAGTCCACTCCTTCCCTGCCCAGCTTTGGATCCAGGAGCGTCTTCGGATCCAGCCTGCACGCGCCAAAGTTTGGTTCGACCGCATCAATGGCAGGCGGAAGTTGCAGGCCTTCGATCAGTGGCAGGCGGAAGTTGCATCTCATGCTGAGATCGGGGCTGCGGCTGGCATGCCTTCCCCCAAGCACATGGGGCGCCATGGCGTCTTCCCGTGTGGCCTGAACAAGGACACGTCCGACGCCAGTTGATTCGAGCCTGGAAGGATTAGACGAGCTCTCATCGTCTTCATCCTCGCGCGCGCCTCGCTTGCACGGCATGTGCACGGTGGATTCGCGCTGCATCGCGCGCCTTCATTCCCTCCTGTTTGGCACGCGCAAGAGCGCGAATTCTCCAACATCCGGTCGAGTTCAAACGCCTTTCTTCCCGATGATACAGATTCGCAAAAAGTGCGGCCCGTCTCTGTGGACGAGTCGTTTGAGCATCTCGTGAACGCGATCAATGGTGATCCGATGTGGACCATGGCGCCCACCTCTCGCAGGAAAGAAGTCTTCGCCTGGGGGCGCGCTCGCGCATATGCACCCCTGCCTTCGCGGCTGCTAGGCCGAGCAATCCCGGGGGGCCAGATTGCAGCACCTCCTGAGATTCTTGCTTTCGTTCAAAGCAAGTGCTTCTCGGATAATGGCGCCCGAACTCGCGCGACAGCTGGGCGCAGCTGCCTTCGACGCCTTGCGCATGCGAGCCAAGTTCCTTTCGCGCGCGCCTGGCGCGCTGTAGCGCGGGGCGCTCGGGCTGTCGCGCAGACCGTAGTCTTGTCGCGCGAGGTATTCAGCATGGGCGGTGCGATTCCTAGCATCAAATCGGGGTTGGCCCAGTTGGAAAATAATCCCACGGGGTGCTGTGCCAGATGCTCCCGGCCCGCAGTTGGCGTCAGCATTTTTTCTGCAGCAGGCGTTTGAGGCACGCGCGGCAGAACGAGCGCTGCCTGCCTGGATGCACGCAGCCACGCGGCACTAAGAACAAGCTGGTTCCGCGTCCATCTTTGTCCAGAAATCTCAAGCATTTGCATGCAGGGTTCCTCGACATCACGCTTGGTCTCGAGGATGGTGGGCATGTTCCCTCACCCTCCTCGGCGCGCGTCTCCAGGCTGCCACAGCATTGAGCTTTGCATGTTTGAGCGTGCTTGTCATAAGCAGCACGGCTTGGCTATCGGTGGCATCCTGAGCTCTTCCGCAGTGTCTGTCGCGTTGGGTTACGAGGAGGCTCTGGTCCTTGAAGGGGCCAGGCAAATCCCAGAGTTCTCGATGCACGGGAAGGATGCGGTCTTGATGCGAAATTCTGGCGGCGGTACGTCGACGATCTCTTAGCCTTCTCCTTCTGCTATCGCCCTGATTGCCTCGGCGTTTTTTGTTCGGCCAAGTGTAAACTGAGAAATTGAGTCGTGCACGCAAGCGACGATGCTCATGGGCTCCGGGTGTTTGAATGGCTTGACATTGAATTTCATGTCTGGCAAAAAGTGCGTTTGCATGGACGTTGAAGAACCCTAGCAGGGGATGGGTATTGATGGGCAGCCCCCGTCAGAAGTCCAACCTCTGTGCCGGCCTCCGACCTCCTTCAAGCGGCTCTTGTGCATGCATGCTCATAGGACGGCTTGTGCGCGCTGCCACGCTGGAGGTTGCGCCGGCCCTCTGAATGTTCATAGCTTTGGAGTTTCTGTTGGAACTGTTGCGCCTGTCCTATCCTCTCTCGTTCGTAAAGGCCCTAATACACAGTGTCCTGCCATCTGCAGCTGTGGTTTTGGCTCGGCGCAGCATCAGGTCATTGCAATGCTGGGAGCGCACAGCCAGTCGATTTTGAATGCCATGAGGGCCCATGGAAGCGGCGAGCGTCGCGACCAGCGGTCCTACCAGTACGATCGGCAAGCTGCTCAGGACAACCAGGAGGTCACGGGAAAAATCGCTCGTGTCGTTCCCCCGGGGTACTCCAAGAATTCCAGGGGGATCCTCGGAGAAGCATGTCCCCGACCAGGAGGCCCAAATCGCGTAATTCCTCGATGTTTCCCGTGACCCCCCGGAGGAGCGTGTGGACAAGCGGCTGGAGAGCCGCAGACACCGCTCCAGAAAGTCCAAGAAGCACAGCAAGTACTCCAGCACCACGTCCTCCAGCGATACTGAGGAGAATGTAGAAATTGCCGAGAAGTACCTGGCCTGTCACTCGAAACGCTTTCGCACGTATTCGAAGGATTCTGCTCAGAAAGAGAAGGATGCTGAGTACGCCCGCCCAGGCAAGCTCATTGCGGATGCCATTGCGCCCCAATTTTCCGCGGCCATGGCAGCAGCAGCCGTGAATGTTGTTCCAACTCCAGGGGCATCCAGCACTGCAGCGCCCAATAATTCGGCACCTCCTGCGCCCGCTACCGAGGATACCAATGTGTTGAACGCTACTCAGATCGCTTTGCTCGAGATGGCCATGAAAGACAAAATGTCTCTCAATACCGGCACGCTCAAGGAACTCACCGAGGGCCTGGATGCCGTCTGGACGAGCAAGCCAGACCTTGTCACAAGAGTAGACGCATTCCTCAAAAAGCACAACCGTGATGCCAGCATCCCGCGCCCCCGAAAAGAGCGTATTCAGCTGCTCTGGGAGACGGCGCGGAAGCTGCGCGGAGTGCCTTCGTTCATGTGCGCTGTTCTCCTTCACCCCATCCGCATCTCTATGTGCCTCGTAGCTGTCTTGCTTGCCATTGCTTTTTACACAGGTGTGTTCTTGGCCCACCAGGAGTGTGAAGGGTGGAAGTGGCAGGCTGGAGCTCAGGTCATCAGTTCGGCCGCCGGTGCGTTTACAGCGACATGAGGGTCCATCGGTGGGCCAGGCCGCCGCGAGCAGCGTTGTGCTCGCTGCGCCCGGACCTGTCGGGTGGCTTGGGCGTGCAGCATCCCTCGCCCTGGGCACATTTGCTGGCACGTGAATCTTGAGCGCCGCGGGCCGCTGATTGAAATCCCAAGGGGCTTCCATCACATCTTACACTATAATAAACGTCACAGGGAATGACATCCGCTTGCGCGCTCGTCCTTACCACCTGGTTGAGCGCCTCTGGCCCAGTTTTAAATTTTCCAGTCTAAGAAGCGGAGCGTGCCAGGGAGCTGGGGTCGTCGGTAGGCCATTGATGTCACCGCTCTTCCGGATATACTTTTTTGCTGCCCTCGAGACGGAGCAGCCCCCAGTCTATGAGTGGGCTCATCAGTTCTGCGAGCGAACGTGCAGCTCCCGAGCGTGAAGCATCCAAACAAACATCATGACAGCAGGGGGCAAACATTGCGTGAAGGGCTGGGGCTCACGCGCTTCGCATGCAAACTGTATTCGTCTAGGCTCGAGCTGTTGTGCAGGCATGGGCGCTTAACTATACTGCAGCGGCCCCTCGCGAGCCGACCGTAGATTCAAGTTCTGACCACTGGATTCGCCACAGAGAATCATCATCATTGTCATCATTGTCATCATCATCGTCATCAGCATCGCCATCATCATCAGCATCATCAGCATCGTCATCATCGTCATCATCAGCATCAGCATGATCAGTATCATCATCATCATCATCATCATCATCATCATCATCATCATCATCATCATCATCATCATCATCATCATCATCATCATCATCATCATCATCATCATCATCATCATCGCCATCATGATTGTCATTACCGTCACCGTTTCTACCATTTTCATCATCCTCATCATATCATCAGGGCCATCATTATTAGTAGATCACCCTCACCACCATCATCGCCATCATCATCATGCCCAATCATCCCCAACATCCTCATAGTCCTCGTCATCCTCATCACGGCTCTCCCAAGCCCAAAGATACGAACTGCCGCACGTGACGGCCTCTTGTGCCCCCTCGAACAGTCGCCACCCAGAATGCCGGGCTGGCACGGTGGCGGGACTTGCCGCAGGCAGCTGGATCCGCCGGCCCCCTGTCGATTCATCGCAGGGGTGCCTGGCGTGCAAGATCCTCTCGGTTTTGATTTTGGCCGCCATCCTCCACCACGTGTTCCCCGAAGGGTTTCCACAACGGCTAGGGGAAAACATGGTCCGATAGCTTGGAAGAGCTCTTGCCACAACGCTCGGCCACATGGGCGATTCTAGAAGGCAGGGGGCGGCGGTGATTCGCCGTAGGCGTCTTCGATACGCGACCACCGCCATCAACGGCTGGGGCAAGCTCGTCAGCATCGCGACCGCGGACGACGCTCGGACGGACACGCCCCGGGGCACCAGCACCAGCGAAACCGCCAGGCCCTCGGGGACGTTGTGCGCCGCCAGCAGCAGCGACACGAAGAGGCCGAAGCTCGCGGGCAGCTGCCTGCTGAAGGCCACGCCCACGGCGACGCCCTCGGCGGCCGAGTGGCAGAACATGACGACGAAGATGAGCCAGGCCTTGCGGAGGTGGCGCTTGTCCATCAGTGCGGAGTGCAGGAGGACGACGTCGTCGTCGTTCCCCTCTTCGCCCTCGCCGCCTTGCCCACCTCCACCATCTGCGACTTCCTCCTCCTGCTCCTCCTCCTCCTCCTGCTCCAACCTCTTCTGCCCTTTCATAGTATATGTTTTCTCTCTCTTTCTTTCTCTCTCTCTCTCTCTTCCCCCCTAATCTGCCACATCCTCTTCGTCCCCCTCCTCCTCCCGCCATCCCTCCTCGTCTCTCCTCCTGCTGGTCCTATTCCTCCTCCTCTTTCTCATCATCGTTCCCCTTCCCCCCCCTCCTCGTTCTCCCCCCCTCCACCTCCTCCTCCTCATCAACCACCTCCAACTCCTCTACTACTCCCTCACTCCCTCCCTCCCACCCCAATGTCCTCCTCCTCCTCCTCCTCCTCCTCCTCCTCCTCCTCCTCCTCCTCCTCCTCCTCCTCCCCCATCATCATCATCGTCAGCAGCAACATCATCATCACCGCCACCACATTATCAGCAGCAGCAGACGCAAAATCACCACCACACTCACATCCACCACCACCACCACCACCACCACCACCACCACCACCACCACCACCACCACCATTACCATCATCACCATCATCACCATCATCACCACCATCATCACCATCATCATCATCATCATCATCATCATCATCATCATCATCATCATCATCATCATCATCATCATCATCATCATCATCATCATCATCATCATCATCCGCACAGCATCATCATCATCATCATCATCATCATCATCATCATCATCATCATCATCATCATCATCATCATCATCATCATCATCATCATCATCATCATCATCATCATCATCATCATCATCATCATCATCATCATCATCATCATCATCATCATCATCATCAGCAGCATCATCATCATCATCAGCATCATCATCATCGTCATCATCATCATCTGTAGCAGTCGTCGTCGTCGCAGTCGTCGTCGTTCTCGCCGCCATCAGCATCGTCATCAGCATCAGCAGCATCAACAACAACCTCGTCATCATCACCATTATAGCATCAGCATCATAATCGTCATCAACATCACCAACCTTATCAGCATCATCAGCATGATAATCATCGTCATCGTCATCGTCATCATCAGCGTTATCAGAACTTTCAGCATCATCATCATCATCAGCATCATCATCATCACCACCACCACCACCACCACCATCATCATCGTCATCATCATCATCATCATCATCATCATCATCATCATCATCATCATCATCATCATCATCATCATCATCATCATCATCATCATCATCAACGTCAGCATCAGCATCAGCAGCAGCAGCATAATCAGCATCAGCATCATCACCATCACCAAAACTACCATCACCATCATCATCGGCAGCAGCAGCGTGGCCTGGGCTCAGACGCTCGGAGCCGCGGATGAACGCCGCTCCCGCCGCGAGGCCGGCCAGCAGCTGCCAGGCCCACGGGCCCGAGTGCGCGTGCGCCTGCGGGCCGCGACGACACGTGGGCCTCCTCCTCCTCGTCTGTCACCATCCAAGTAGTACGAACACTACTCTCACTCCTCCCCTGAAGATGTCCAGAGGCTTACACACATGAGTCATCGAGTCGTCTCTCCTACTGCGCGCTACAGTCCAAGTGGCTACGTGGTCTCAGGATGGTGATCCCGCTGCAGCGCGGGCCTCATTTTCGTATTGGCGCGTTGCTCCCGTCTTTCAAACTGGCGCTCTCGCCCCAAGGCGGGCCACTTTTCTGGATCCGAGGTTTGCTTCATTGTCGTCCCCCCACATTTCATCTCCTCCGCCTTCCCCTGGTCCTCCTGTTCCTCCCGCTCCTTCCACTCCAATTCCTGCTGCTGTTCGTTTCGCCCCAGCGCGAGCCGCTTCTTTGAATCCGAATATTTCTTCGTCGTTATCGCCCCCTCATTTCCCCTCCTCAACCTTCCCCTGGTCCTCCTTTTACTCCCGATCCATTCGCTGTAGTTCCTGCTGCTTTCTTCCTCATCCTTTTTCCTCCCGTTCATCCTCCTGCTCCCCCGCCACCTCCTCCTTTTGTGCACGCAGCTCCCCCTGTTTCCGACTGCGCATAACACGAAGAGGTCTTTCTGTGGGAGTCGCAAGTCGGCTATGACACGCGTCCGCGGATAGAGAGAAATCAGCGCCATCCATGGGAAGGGATGGGAGGGAGGGACGGGATGTCAGATGAGGCGCGGGCGCGTCTGTCTTGTCCCTCTCTCCCTCCCTCCCTCCCCGTGCATCCACCCGCCCTCCTTCTCCCCGACGGCCTCCTGCAGCATCCCCGCGGAGGCCGAGAGCATCATCCCGCTGGCGGCGGCGTTGGCGAGCGCGAGCGCGCGCTCCCCGAGGGCGTCCCTGCCGACGAGCACGAAAGGCAGGGCCTGGGAAAAGGTCGGCTACACGCAAGAGTGACCCTGGGTAAGAGTGACCTTTGGTGCGCGGCTCCTTTGGGGCCGCGGGAAAACCAAACGTGGGTGCGCAAGCCGCTGCTGCCGCTTCGTTTTCAGCCATCTGGAGACCCGTCTGTGCCCGCACCACAGGTCACTCCGGCGAAAGGTCACTCTTGCGTATAATCGAAAAAGGGCCAGCTGCGAACCGACACCGGGACTGGGCCAAGCCCGCCCGGCCCAGCGTTTCGGGAGGAGGAGGAGGAGGAGAGAGCGAGTGGGCGAGTCGAAGAGTGGCTGAGTGAGCGAGTGAGTGGGTGAACGAGGGAGTGGGGATGAAGCGTGCAGGGTTTAGAGTTTAGGGCTTGGGGAGGGACTAGGGTTTAGGGCGCTATCTGAGCGAGTGAGTGGGTGAACGAGCGAGCTAAGGCGAAGCCAGGACGAGGACAAATTGAGAATACCTAGGATCTGGCGGCTCTGGAGGATGTCTCGGGCGCCGCGGCCTTCTCAGCGCGTTCACGAACAGTCTGAGAGCGCTCCAGAACGCTCTGGAACGGATGCGTCCTCGACCTAGCCCCGTCCTATGAGTGAATGAGTGAGTGGACTAGGGAGGGAGCATTGGCAGGCAGCCGCCAGGCGACGTAGCATCAGGAGGAGCAGCAGCAGCGGCAGCAGCAGCACCAGGAGAAGAAACAGCAGCACCAGGAGCACCAGCATCATGAGGAGCAGCAGCAGCACTAGGAGGAGAACCACCGCGCCCGCTGCCGCAACCACACCGTCCACGGGCCCCGGGCGGGCCCGGCCGGGACCCTGGTGACGGTGCAAAGCTGGCGCCCCCCCCCGAAGGGCCCCAAGCCCAGTCGTGACGCACGTCAGCATGCCCCAGCAGAAGACGCGGAGGCAACTGGCGTCCAGGTGGACGAAGATCTGCCTGCCGCAGGGTGAGAGGGGACAGGAATGGTGGAGGTCGCCACCCGGCCCTCGCAGCACAGCCTCCCGCCACCCCCTCTTCTCTCCTCCTCGCCTCCCCCTCGTATCTTCCTCGCCCGCTCGGTGTCCCTTCTCTCACATCTTCCCTGCTCCCCCGTCCTGGCCGACCTCTCATCTGCCCAGAGGACTGAGGCGGGCCAGCAGGCAGCAGCAGGGGGCGAGACGGGCCCACACTCTCGCCAGCTCGACACTGCTACTTCCAGGAGCAGCGACCTCATATCGAGGCCAGCCCAGAGAACGCCGGGCAAACCAACCGCAGCCCGCAGCCGGAGGGAGGGAGGGGGAGGAGGAGGAGGAGGAGGAGGAGGAGGAGGAGGAGGAGGAGGAGGAGGAGGAGGAGGAGGAGGAGGAGGAGGAGGAGGAGGAAGGAGGAGGAGGGGAGGGGGGAGTAGGAAAGGAGGGGGCGAAAGGCGAGAGTCGCGCCGTGGCAGGGGCGGCCCAGCAGGGGGAAGGGAGGACCACGGGGGAGGGGGCGGGGGGCGGGGGGCAGGCGGAAGGCGGCGGTTGTCGTGGTGGTCGGCGAAGTGGTTGGGGCTAATGGTTCGGCGTGCTGCAGGTGGAGGCCGTGGTGGTACTCGTGGTGGTCGCCGTGGTCGCGATGATCGTGGTGGTGGTCATGGTGGTGATCGTCGTGGTGGTCGCAGTGGTCGTGGCGGTGGCCAGGTTAGTGGTTGTCGTACTGGTGGTGATAGTCGCGTCGAAGCTGGTGGTGATCATGGTGGTGGTGATGTTGGTCATCGTGCTGGCGGTTGGGGGGGGTGCTTGGCTGTTCACGCCGCACTAAGCGGCATCACCGCGATTCCGAAAGCTAAGCAGCGTTGGATCTTCTCTCCCTCACCCACCTTGACCCCCCACTTTCCCCCCCTTCTCCCCAAACCCTCATCTCTCCTCCCCCCCCATCGCCATTCTCTTCCCCTTCCCATGCCTTCCCCCCGACACCAGCCGCCCATCCGTCCCTTTCCACACCTCCTCCCCACATCGCATCTCCTCCATCCTGCTTCCATCCTCTTCTACATGATGTTGTTATGCCTCCTCTTCATCCTCCTCCTTCCCCTAATCATCATCAGCATGATCAGCAACATCAGCATCAGCATCAGCATCCTCATCATAATCCTCATCACCCTCATCAACATCCTCATCATCATCATCATCATCATCATCATCATCATCATCATCAGCACCATCAGCACCATCAGCACCATCCTCGTCCTCATCCTCATCATCTGCAGCAATCGTCGTCGTCGTCACAGTCGTCGTCGTTCTCGACGCCATCAGCATCATCATCAGCATCAGCAGCATCATCAACAACATCGACATCATCACCATGATAGCATCAGTATCATCATCGTCATCAACATCATCAACATTATCAGCATCATCAGCATGATAATCATCGTCATCGGCATCGTCATCATCATCAGCGTTATCATAACTTTCAGCATCATCATCATCAGCATCATCAGCATCATCATTATAATCAGCACCATCATCAGTACCACCACCATCATCAACATCATCATCACCATCATCATCGTCGTCAGCGTCATCATCAGAAGCATCGTCGTCATCACCATCAGCATCCCAATCAATCAGTCTCTCCTGCCTGCCCGTCCTGCTCTCTCTCTCCGCCACCTCCTCTCATCATCATCATCGTCATCATCATCATCATCATCAGCATCATCACCAGGATCATCAGCAGCAGGACCATCAGCATCATCATCATCATGGTCATCATAATCATGGTCATCATCATCATCATCAACATCATCATCATCATCATCATCATCATCATCATCATCATCATCATCATCATCCGCATCACCCGCATCATCATCATCATCAGCAACATCCTCATCATGATCGTCGTCGTCAGCATCATCATGCTCGTCGACATCATCGTCATCAACATCATCAACAGCATCACCATCATCGTCACCATTATCAACATCTTCATCATCATCACCATCAGCATCACCACCATCATCAGTATCAGTATCACCATCATGTTCATCATTATCATCATCATCATCATCATCATCATCATCATCATCATCATCATCGTAATCATCGTAGTCAACATCGTCGTCACCACCACCACCACCTACACCACCACCCGCATCATCATCATCACCACCAACCACCACCACCCGCATCATCACCATCAGCATCGCCATCAGCATCAGAAACATCATTCTCATCATAACCAACATTATCATCATAATCCTCATCAACACCATCATCACCATAGGCATCATTAGCATCACCATCATCAACAAACATCGTCGTGTTCCTCCTTCGCATCGTCATTATCAGCATCACCAGCATCATCATCATCATCATCATCATCATCATCATCATCATCATCATCATCATCATCATCATCATCATCATCATCATCATCATCATCTTCATCTTCATCAACGTCAACATCATCAACATGAACGTCATGCTCATCCTCATTCTCGTACTCCATCCCTGCCTGTTAATTCCTTCTTCCCTCTCTTCCTCCATGTACATGCTGCCCCTCCACTACAATGTCCTTCCCCCCCCTCTTCCTCCTCCTAAGCATCATCATCCTCATCATCATCATCATCATCATCACCATCACCATCACCATCACCATCACCATCGTCATCATTATCGTCATAATCAGCATCATCATCAGGATCATCATCATCACCCTCACCCTCACCCTCACCCTTACCCGCATCCTCATCGCAATCCTAAAGTATGATCCTCATCCTAATCCTCATCTTCACCTACAGCAGCAACAGCCGCACATCAGCATCAGCATCAGCATCAGCATCATCGTCATCATCAGCATCATCATCAGCATCATCAGAATCGTCGTCATCATCATCATAATCATTACCATCATCGTCATCATCAGCATCAGCATCAGCATCAGCATCAGCATCAACACCAGCACCAGCACCAGCATCATCATCATCATCATCATCGTCATCATCATAGTCAGCATCATCATCATCATCATCATCATCATCATCATCATCATCATCATCATCATCATCATCATCATCCCTGTCCTCCTCCCCTTCTGCCTTCTGCCTCCTTCTCCTCCTCACTTCCACCTCTGGGTTTCTGAATAAGCGTCGGGGGGTACCCCCCTGTCGAGGGTCAACCTCGCCTCGTCGTCGCGCCGCGACGGGGTCGGAGCGCCTCCGGCGCGCGGTGGCAGCCCGCGACGGGGGTCGATGTGGGGCTGTCGGCGGGGGTGACTCCCCCCCGACGCTTATCAAGAACTTCGGAGTACCCTCCCACTCCTCCTCCCTCCCGTCCTTCGTCCCCACCTCTCCCCCTCTTCCCTGAAAGTCCGCCCCTGGATCCCGTTCCGAGCTATGTTTTGACCAGGACTTCGATGGGGAAGTCCAGCCGTGGCGGTGAAAAGCCCCCCAGAGGCCCAACAGAAGGGCCAAGAGCGAAACAAAAAGCAGAGAAAACAACACCCTCGAAGCTCGTCGAAAACAACAAAAAACAGAAAGACACAAACAACCATAAACAGCACCACCCTCGAAACAAAAGAAGAACAACTCACGAAAAAACATGCAAACCATAGACACCGAGAAAAATACGTGTTTCAAACAGAATATATATATATATACATATATATATATATAACCTCGAAACAAAACACAGAAAAACACCACACGGAAAACGACAACAACAAAAACGGAAACCACATAAAACCTGGACCTCGTCAGCGCCGCCACCGCCGCCGGAGGCCTCCGACCGCCGAGCATCGCCGGCGCGCCGAAGGCCGCGCCGAGGGCCGCGGAGGGCCGCGGAAGGCCGCGGAAGGCCGCCGAAGGCCCGCGGCCTCGCGGCGGCGGCGCAGGCGACGCCGCACGCCCAGAGGAGTTCCGCCTCGCCGCCCGCAGGGGCCTTCTCCGGCACGCCTCGGGCGGGGGTGACGGGCAACGATATCGGAGGAGGAAGCCATCGGGGTGACGGGCAACGATATCGGAGGGAAAATGCACCCATGCCTCTACCCTTCCCTCGTTTATCCTTTCTGGGCCCTCTGGGTAGCCTTCGTCGCCACCGCTAGATTCGCCTCGAAATCCTGGTTAGAACGCGCGCCCCGGGAGAGGTCCGGGGAACACCGGTATGGGTACCTCTGAAACAGGGAGGTTCTCCACGACTGAACTCTGGAGTTCAGTCAGCCCGACTCCAGGGCAAGCGCCAAGTCGCGGAAGACTTAATTCCAGAGTTGAGTCGCCACCGAACTGGCGGACGCGCCAGCCATGAAGCGAATTAACTCTGGAGCTAAGTGATTCCGACGCCGCGCGCACCAGCCCGGCACAGATTCAACTTAGGAGTTAAGTCGCCGCGGCGTTGGGCTAGGTCCTGCGACGACTGAACGGCGAAAAAATGGAGGGGGGGCGGCGACGACAAGGGGGGATAGGAAGAAGATGAGAACGCCGGGGCACGGGGTGGGAACCCCTGAAACGAAGCCCTCCCGTCGAGGTACGGGGGCGAAAGCCGCGCCGCCAAAAATAGCTCGACAAATCGAAAGTCTGCGATGCGGCAGGAATGTTGAAACGCAAGATGTGCGGAATGTCCTCATCATGAACGATGCACTCCCGAGTGCGCGGAGGGCGGGGGGGAATTGGGTCAGGCCCACCAGGATCAAGCGGTCGCGCGGGCCGTTCGCAGGGAACGGGGGAGGAGGGGGGAGGAGGAGGAGGAGGAGGAGGAGGAGGAGGAGGAGGAGGAGGAGGAGGAGGAGGAGGGAGGAGGAGGAGGAGGAGGAGGAGGAGGAGGAGGAGGAGGGAGAGGAGGTGGAGGAGGAGGAGGAGGAGGAGGAGGAGGAGCATGAGGAGGAGGAGGAGGAGGAGGAGCAGGAGGTCGGGCGGGGCGACCCGGGTCTCACGCCGAGCGCTCTCGCCCGGCCTCGGGCCCCGGGGGCCATCACCGGATGGGTCCGGCTCGAAGGACGGCGCAGAGAGGTGGGGTCTGGGGCGCTGGTCGTGGGCTCCCGCGGTGTCGCAGTTTGTTCGCAACTTCGGATCTGAGGGACGACGCCCCATCTCAACAAGTGACAGCGCTCAGTCCCAAGAAGGTCCTTCCCTAGGACAAGCTAGCACCACAGATGAGGAAAAAGACGCGTCTCAGCAGCACCAAGCCCAACACCTGACGAAGCCCAACAGGGACGGGACGACGAGGACGACGGCAGAAACGACGAAGACGACGACGGTGGCCCCAAACGGACTGAGCGGCCCCGTCCCTGGAGGGGCAGGAGGGGGAGTGGGGAGGAGCCCTACGACGGCGACGAGGGAGAGGGCGAGGGAGGTGAGCGGAGGGAGTGGGAGGGAAGAGCGCCTCGGGGCGAGGCGAGGAGAGGGGAGAGGGGAGGGGGCAGAGATAGAGAGAGAGGGCAAGGGCGCGACGGCGAAGTTGGGCGAGTACCCCTCTCCTCCGCCCCCACCCCTGGCACGCCGACGGGCAGGCGCTCCACGTGCAGCTTCAGCGCACGCCGCCCCCCAGCGTCGGCGATGGACTCGTTGCAGGTGGCCGCCTCGTAGCCGCCCGCGCCGAGCTCGGCGCCCATGCCGAGCTCGACGACGATGCCCCGCGCCAGCTCCACAGTAAGGAGACCGGCGGCGCAGAGTGCGACGACCACCCTGCTCGTCATCGCTCGCGCGGAGGGGCTGGGGGGAAACGTCAGGGGGAGACGGGCTCGGGGGGCAACATCGACCTGGAATCAGCGGTACATCGCGGATCATGAGATCGGCGATGAACCCTGTTGGCGATTCCGCACGTTCCTGGACGGAGTGGGCTGTCGGGCCCGCGTCGGCGAAGAATGGGCGATCGAAGATCGGTACATCCCCCCCTGAGCCTATCGCCCACGAAAGTTGCCCCTGAGGGGCGGCCGGGGGGTTGCGTCCAGCAGCGGACGGGGCTTCTTCTGCTGGCGCTACACGCAAGGAGTGTCAGGTATCAGCGGCTGCGCTGTGAGCCCGAGAACAGCGGCGGCTGGTGGCGGTGGCGGCCAGGGCGCGGCCGGTGGCGGCGAAGAGGGTGCGAGGAAGTGAGCGCAGGGCGACGAGAAGATCACGCAGTGGGGCGGCGGTATAGCCGTGGTGTGGCAAGTGGCCATGCTTTCAGTGCTAGCAGTGGTGAGGACGGGAAGGATGGCGGCGTGTGGGAGCACGGCGAAGAGACAGTCACGCGGTCAAGCGGTGGTGCGGCCACGTTCGCGGGGGGGCTCGCGATGAGGAGTTCAGGAGGGATGACGGTCCTCACTTAGTCTTCCCCTTCTCCTCCTCCTCCTCCTCCTCCTCCTCCTCCTCCACTTGTCGATCACAACGATCTGCTCGTCGCGTCGTGAAGCATAATCATTCAGCTACTCCAAGCATCTGCAATCCCTCGGGGTTCTTTGGAATGTTAGGTAAATGGGAAAGGATGATGTGGAGAAGATGAGGACAAGGAAGGATAGTGCGGGAGCATGCGGAGTCCACATCCGCGCTTTCAGCGGAGGGCGTGCCTCAACCAACTACCTCATTCCTCCTTGCTCCCCTTACGAAGACTCCCACAAAAGCAGAGAGTTATTTGAGCACAAACCACTGTAGAAACCATGCTCATCGGAGGCGAGGGGAGCTCACCTCACTAGAGCCAGGGGATGGTGAACTTCGCAACCCCAGGCTTCCGTCGCCGTCTTCTCAACATGGGGCCCCCAGAAGTTCTGACCCGCTCACCCAGGGCAGTTTTTGCGCGTCCTGGGTCGCCTTCTGATGGGCTCAGGGCCGAGTACTGGAGGCCTGGAAAGGGGTACCAACACCAAGACGGGGGCTGTCTCCACCTGGGGAAAGTGATCCCAGACCTTGGGGTCGGTGGTAATCTTTCGGCCACCCAGGAAGCCCGGATATCACCACCATCGCCGAGATCGGCATCGCCGCCCCTCCGTGGAAGCACACCGCCGACACCGGTGCACTGGTGCCCATGATGGGACTGATTTCCACCACCACTACCATATGTTGGAGAAGGAGGAGGAGGAGAAAGAAGAGGAGGAGGAGGACCTCTCCCTCCAACCTATGGTAGTGGTGGTGGAAACCAAGCCCATCAGCCCACCTCCGGGCCTGCGAGAGCAGACCTGCTCCCGGGACACCGAGCATCACGAGGACCTCCGTCCCGCTGCTCTCGCATCGGGCGTCCGGGCCCCGCGCCCCCTCCCCAGGCCTCCAGGGCCTGGCCCCGGCTGGGCCTCCGACAAGCCGCCAGGGCCTGCCCAAGACTCGAGCAGGGGATCGACTGCAGCATCGACTTACCCTCCTGTCCACAGTGCTCGTGGAATCTGTGGAGCAGACGTAAAACGTTCGTGGATGTACTGACAATCTGTGTATGTTCGTGGATCCGACTGGAAAAACAGTTTCGGGGTAAGTCAATTCTGTAGTCGATCCCCCACTCGAAAGACGGGACAGAGCCGGCTGGCACTGCGAGGCCCCGGACCGTGTCGAGACTCCTCCGTGGACTCCTCCCGAGAGGACGCAAAGGCGTCCCCTGACAGCAAGTCGTGCCCTCGAGGGGGGGGCCGCACTGTTGGAGGATCAGTGGTTGAAGCTTTCGGGCGTCTCTGGCTCGTTCTGAGCGACTGGGAGGCTCCTCGTCGACGCGGTTGGATTCCCCTTCGAAGCTGTAGGGAAAACTGAAACGGAGAAACAAGAAACGTGGCACGACCTCCTGGCGAGTCCTACCGAGCCTCCTGGCAGACTCCCTCGCAACCAACCAGTCGGGTGGACGTGGGGTTGGGCAGGCCGGTGCGGTAATGGGGTAGGGCGGTGCGTTCTGGACGGCCCCCAGAAGAACGAAATGACAACATCTAGCAGGGCTCGCTACCCTAACCTCAAAATTGGGAGAACACCCTCTTCTGTTCAACCCCATCCACAGCATCCTCCTCCTCGTTCACCTCCTCTTTCTCCTCCCCCTCAGCATCTTCAGCATCAGCATCATCAGCATCAGCATCAGCATCAGCATCATCATCGTCATCATCATCATCATCATCATCATCATCATCATCAGCAGCAGCAGCAGCAGCAGCAGCATCATCATCAACATCATCATCATCATCATCATCATCATCATCATCATCGTCATCATCACCATCACCATCACCATCACCATCACCATCACCATCACCATCATCATCATCATCACCATCACCATCATCATCATCATCATCATCATCATCATCAGCATCATCGCCATCATCAGCATCATAATCAGCATCATAATCAGCATCATCATCAGCAGCATCAGCATCGTCGTCATCATCGCCATCGTCATCATCATCAGCATCATCATAATCAACGCCAGCATCATCATCATCATCATTATCATTGTCATCCTCATCATCATCGTCATCATCAGCATTATCATCCCCATCATAAAAATAACCATCACCATCACCATCATCATCATTAGCAGCAGTATCAGCATCAGCATTAGCATCATCATCAACAACATCAGCATCGTCACCATCGTCATCAATGTCATCATCATCCCCATACCCAAGCCCACCCCCATCCCAATCCGAATCCCCATCACCATACCCATCCCCATCCTCTTCCTCCTCTTCCTCCTCTTCCTCCTCCTCCTCCTTTTCCTCCTCCTCCTCCAATCCCTTTCCTTATAACTTCTCCCTGTCGCACCACGAGCCCAGTGTTTAGGGCGGGCCGGACGTTTCGCCTGAGACTTCCTCACCATCTCTGACCCTGAAGCTCAAAACTTGACAACAATTTCACCGATGGAGGGCGGGTGGTTTTCAAAATGTGGCTCTCGCCTTAGCGCCGCGTTTTATTTGTAAGAGTTTCACAGATTGAGGGCGACTGGTTTTCACGATGTGGCTCTCGCCTTGGCGGCGCGCACATTCGTCTTCAACAACTGCAAGAGCTTCGCGGATTGAGGGCGGCTCATTTTCAAATGTGGCTCTCGCGTTAGCGGCGCGCACATTCGTATTAAAGACCTGCAAGAGCTTCACGGATTCAGGGCGGGTGGTTTTCGAAATGTGACTCTGACCAATAGCGCCGCGCTCATTCGTTTTACAAATTTGCAAGAGCTTCACGGAGTGAGGGCGGTTCCTTTTCAAAATGTGGCTCTCGCCTTAGCGCCGCGCAAATTTGCTTATAACACTTACAAGAATTTCACGGATTCCCATGACCAACGTACCAGAAAGTGTGTGTTCGGAAAGAATCAGGATTATGCGGGCGCAACCGTTATGTTGATTCGCGGTGTTGATGTCCCAGGAATGGCGTTCTGGCACGATTCAGGCTCGTCATGACGCAACATTCAGGTTGATCCGTGGCGTTGGAATCCCGAGGACGTTTTTAACCATGCTTCAGAATATTCAAACGGTTGTCCCGCGACGAGGCAGTTCCCTCAGTGGAGATGAACTGTTGTAGGAGCCTGTGAAGAGGGAGCTCCGAGGGAGAGTTTATTCCAACATCGTTGATGACTCTTGCTTGGCTTTACACTGGTCTTCCTCCTCCTCATCATGTTTCCTCTCCTCTTCCTCCTCGTTCTCCACCATCATCCTTCCTTGTAAGTAACTCTTCCCTGTCGCAACCGGAGACGGGTCGGCAGGGCGGGCGGGACGTTTGGCCTGAGACTTCCTCACCATGTATGATCAAAGTTTGAAAACTGCAAAAAAGTTTCACGATTGGAGGGCGGGTTGCGTTCAGCATGTGACTCTCGCTTTAGCGCCGCGCACATTCGTCTGAAAAGTTTGCAAGAGCTTCACGAACGGAGGGAAATCCGTTTTCAAAATGTGGCTCTCGCATTAGTGCCGTGCGCATTCGCCTTTACGGTGTGCAGGAGCTTCATGGGTGGAAGGCGGGCCATTTTCAATATGTGGCTCTCGCCTTAGCGCAACGCACACTCGTATTTAAAGTCCACAAGTGGTTCACGGATGGATGGCGTTGTTTTCAAACAGTGGCCTCGCCTTAACGCCGCGCACGTCCGTCTTCAATGTTCGCAAGCGTTTCAAGGACTCGTACCGTATGGTTGTAGTCCCACATATTGCGTTCTAGCACGATGTAGGATCGTCAGGGCGCGGCAATCACGTTGATCCGAGGTGTTGACGTACCACAAATCGTATGCGTCGGAGTTCCAGGAATGGTGCCCAGGCACGGTTGAAGTATTTCAGACGGTTGTCTTCCAATGGGGCCCTTCCCGCAGTGAAATCAAATCTTCATAGGAGCCTATGGCGAGGGAAGTTGAAAGATGGTGCATTGCAACATCGTTGGTGAGCGCTGGGTTTAGACTGGTCATCATTATCCGTCTCTTCCTCCTCCTCCACCATCATCATCACCACCATCGTCATCTGCATCATCATCATCATCATCATCATCATCATCATCATCATCATCATCATCATCATCATCATCATCATCATCATCATCATCACCATCACCGACATCATCACCATCACCATCACCATCACCATCACCATCACCATCACCAGCATCATCATCATCCCCAGCATCATCATCATGATCATTATCATCATCAGCAGCAGCAGCATCATCATCATCATCATCATCCCCAGCATCATCATCATCAACAACATCATCATGTTCCTCACGCTTCTCCTGATTCGCCCCGATCTCGCTTCCTCACAAATACTTTCTCCCTTGCACCCCCAGACGCGCCGGCAGGGCTGGCCAGGCGTTTCGCTCGAGACCTCCGCACCACTCACGAGTCTGTCACTTGAAAGTCGCAACGACAGCCGAGGGGGTCGATTTCAAATTGGAGCTATCGCCTGAGCGCCGCGCGCGCTCGTCTTGAAAAACGCAGCAGGTTCGAAGATGGAGGGAGTCTCCAATCTCACATAGGATTACCGCTGCAACACCGCGCACACTCGCTTCAAAACATGTTACAGGTTGGAGGATGGAGGGCGGCTCCTTTTCAAACTTGGGCATTCCTTCGGGACTTTCTGGAACTTTGATGAATGTAAGCTTGAGCGT